ATTAATTCAGTAGTTCAGGCCACAGAGAGAAACTCAGATTAGTGATACTTTTTGTAGGTTGCAGCTCTTTAACCCAAACTGACCCGACAACGTGCTCAACAGCCGGGCACACTCTGACACACAGGGAGAACATACAGACTCCACACAGAAAGGCCCCGGGTCGAGCTGACTGAGTGTTTCTGGGACTCCAACATCTTTTCTACAGCTGACCGAGTCTCAGTTTCAGGAATCACTATATTCATTATTTAATCTGATCAACTTTATAGACCTTCAATACTCTGATTTAATAATTAATTCAGTAGTTCAGGCCACAGAGAGAAACTCAGATTAGTGATACTTTTTGTAGGTTGCAGCTCTTTAACCCAAACTGACCCGACAACATGCTCAACACTCTGATACTGCCCAGCAAAAATGATCCAACATATGACACAAAAAGAAAAGTCATTTCAGGTTTCTCCTGTCTTCATGTTCATTAAGTTGTGGCAGCAGAAAACACGGTACTGAAAGAAAGACCCAGTCTTTTCACTACATCAGTCTAACCCTGAAATCCACTTTTAAGCCTCTCCAGACTGGTGTACGAGCTCCATCCTTTACCTGAGGGAGCTGGCTGAATGTGTCAGTGCCGAGGAAAACCTGAAGACTGTCCTTTCATGCTGCAAGAGCTGAAATGCCTGCATGAAGATTTCAGTCTCTGAGAAACTGCTGGAAACGCGCCCTGATTCTCTGGGGGTCTTTTTCAGTGAGCCCAGACAAGCCGCCTCCCTCCTTCACAAGCAGAGCTGCACTTAAAGACATGAGTGAGATGTTCAGGTGAGTGACGGCGCTCAATGCGGGGACGTGTCTCCGGGCTGACAGCCATCAGGTTGGCCTGTTCGCAATGTTCGCCCTGAGCAAAACCAGAATGATGCTCAGGAAAACAGCCTGCCAGAGAAACATGCTCAGCTGTTATTGAACCCGTAACTGAAACTCAAAACCATGATACAGTTACAGAAATTTAGAGGTCAAAGGTCAAAGTGTTTATTTGTCATATGCACAGTTAGGAAACGTGTTTCCCTGTACAATGAAATTCTTACTTTGCCGTCCACATGAATGCCACAAAATACAAATGAAATATAAAGTAGATAAATAAGTAACACAAAATCTACGGCACTTTAAGCAGCAGGTGAAAGAAGCACAATAAAAATACAAGAGCAGAATATAATGTTAGAATGTTAGAATATATCATCTGCTTTTATTTTACTACTCCGTCTACTCAGCTTTTGCAGCATTTTCCAAACATTTGGTCTCTGTCTTCAGATCGTCGAGGAGATGTAAAAATCCCCCGCGTCCTGGACGATGAGGCACAGTGAGGGCCCCTTTAACCGTGGTCAGAGCTCCAAAACGAGGCCACTTTCTGAGGTTTCAGGCACAGGGTGAGCTGAAATAAGAGAAGATGCTGCTGATGGCAGCAGGATCCTCTCTGCTCTCTGCAGCAGGGACGACAGTTCAGTTGGCAGCAGCCAGTAAACAACATCCAGATGTAGATATCACTGAATGCTAATGTCATTAATGTGAGGACTGTTATACAGGTCTAGTATTGTGCAGCTACATGAATAATATCTAATCTGTACAAACGTGTCTGTCTTACAGGAGCGTGTTTTGTCATGTTTTCAAATTTCCTGTTTGTGCAAAAGCAAAGATGTTTGTTTCACAGCTAAGAAGGAAAAGGAAACTAAATATTGACATTTGAGAAACTGGGAGCAGAGAATTTGAGCATTTTGTCTTTTAAAACCAACTCAAACATTCTGATCAGTGATTAGAACTGCCAATAATGATGCTAATTAATGTTCTGTTGATGGAATAACTAACCAGTTACTTGACTAACTGCTGCAAAGTACCACATCTCTTTGTTGAGACATTGGAGTGAACAAGTGAAATGACCAAAACCGGTGCTATGAAAGCAGGACAAAGAGGCAAATCGTTTGATTGATGAGCTACGGAGCTGGCAAACAGCGGTGTGTGGGCCGACACCTGGTCCCGTTTTCAGGCCAGTTCAACCTGTTCAGGTCCATTTCACAGACACAGTGTTACAACAGTGAAAGTGATGTAACTGGAGATCGAACGATGGCCTTGTATCACCATCTAATAGTCTAATCAATACTGGAGAGAGGAACACAAACCGATACTGTGCCTCGATACTGTGAAATGAAGTCACCTTTGTGCATGTGTCACTTCACCGGTCACTGGTTTCTACCTCACACAGCTGGCAAACATCTGTCTTCCCCACTCGAAACACTCATTAAATGAGTGATCCTCCGTGAACTGATCAATAGACTGATTTTTTCTGCATTGCTATAAGATGCTGTGGACACCAAACAGCACAACAGAAGCCACTGACGCGTCACATCACTGCACCGAGACACACAATGACAGCACGAACACAAACTGACAAAACCAAACTGGCACGGAAAAAGAAGCACTGGCCCAAAAGTGGCAAAGCTAAAGACTTTGTAGAAGGTTCTAGTTATTATTTATTGGTTAACCACGGGATTAATCCACCAATCACAAAATAATGACTTTATCTGTGGCGTAATGGGACCATAATGGTCCCAGTATGTTGACAAATGATTTTTATTTCCTCTACAGTGGAAGTTTCCTCACAAAGAGGAAACCTAGAATTTAAAGAGACTGCAGTAAAAACCTAACACACAACAGAAAAACCCTGTCGGGTGAAGAATCACTGATGTAACTGTGAGCAAACAAAGAGGTAACACAACCCGACTGTCTCCTGTGAGCTCGCTCTGCACACACACACTGGACATGAACACACTGGATAGACTGCCAGCGTGCGCGCTGACGATTTACTGTTGAGAAAACATTGTGGATTCCTTCGGCACAGTTCAGGACAACGCTAATTGAAAACCAAATGCCACACACACACTTGATCCTCATGTACAAGAGCAGCGCTGCGTCCTCGTCAACACTACGACCTGCAGCCCCCGGTGCTCCGGCATCAAGCTCCGGTTACCATTTCTATTTCAACTCCTCAGGCCACCTGCTCTGTCAGCGCTCACTCTGGGCCCCAAGTGAAACCTGAACTGGTCCTGCAGGGCAGAGGTGCAGTGGTGCTGGAACGCACCGGAGCGACACTCCGCCACTTTCTCTTCTCCAAGAGAAACGTTTGTGTTTCTGGGCCTGTCGGGAAAATCTGGTTGGAATTCATAAGGTTGTGTTGCTGTGAGTGCTTGAAAACCCAGTCAGTCAGTCGAGATAGGTCTGTGGGTGGGGGTAGACCGCAGCCCTGATGTATTCACTACTGCTGGTTGACGTGAACCAACATGAAGCAGCTCAGTGAACAGTCTGGAGTCGGTTTAACACTGGAGCACAGAGCATCTTGACACCTGATGGTGATCAGCACGGGACAGTCTCTTGAACCATCCTGCCCATTTACTCACCCACCACCCCCATCACGCTGCACAACCTCTACAGGAGGCCTGTGTAAACGCCACCGCCTCAGATGTTTTTGCCAGTGAACCGAGTCGTTATCAGCTGGTCCATCAGTCTGACACCGCTGGGCGATACAGCAACAATAAAACAGCATCCTGACACAAGGCCTTGGCACCAACTGTAAATCTTCACTATGAGGACAGATACAGCTCGGCCCCTGGGCTCTGATTCACTGGGCAAACTGAATCTGTGACAAACAGAAACGGCAGCGAGCGTCCCCGAGAGCAAGGCAGCTGTGCAGCTTGTGAGCAGTGGGCTCAGAGAAAGGACAACATCTGTAATCACCTCAGAAGGCCTCACACCTGAGGGGAGCACTTCACACTGGTTCTCGGCTAAACATGCCACAGCTGAGCCTCAGGGTTATTCTGCTTTGCTGCTTCCTCACTTTGAGCAAACATGACTGTTGTTCTACCAAACTCTTTTCTTAGACGTTAAACGACTTCACATTAGCAGCCGCAGAAAGGCTTCACCTCTAGAGTAGTGGCTGACCTTTAGA